AAAAAAAAAAAAAAAAAAAAAAAAAAGACTCTGAGGTTAACAGAGCACTGGAATAGGCTGCCCAGAGAGGCTGTGGAGTCTCCATCCTTGGTGATCTTCAAAATCCACTTGAATGTGATCCTAAGGTTAACAGAGCACTGGAATAGGCTGCCCAGAGAGGCTGTGGAGTCTCCATCCTTGGTGATCTTCAAAATCCACTTGAATGTGATCCTGTGTAACCTACTTAAGCAGGGTCAGTTGGAGCATGAGTCTCTTTCAATCCCAACCATTCTGCGATTCCCACCACTAAGTTCCCTCTATCTTTTATTAGGCAGACTCATGGGAACTTTTAAACGTGTATTTAAAGTCTAGAGAAATGAAGCCTTATGAAAAAAATGAAGTAACAAAAGCATTTTGGTACATGGACACAGCAGCTTGAAAAATCCCTTTTCCCAGATTAAGTTCTAGAAATCATTATATTACTACTATTTTGCTGTTCTTATGTTTTCAGTAATACATTACTGAGAGTTCATCGTTTAGGAGATAACCTAAAAACTACTTTCATACCCCACACATTTTTCATCTTTAACAATCACTTCTGTAATTACTTTTTTTCTTTAAAGATTATTCCTCAAAGGATATTAAATTAGAAGCTTTCTTCAGTATTTGGCAAAGTTTAGATTTACTATATTAAACAAAAACAAGAACACTGCAATTCTCTTCAAAATTTCCCAACAATTGTTTAAAAACTGCATACACAGAAGAGAAATTTTAATTATCTAGATAAATTAAAAAAAATCATATTATGTGCATTGAGAATGTAACTTTTTTTTCCCCAATCTTTAGTTTAGAAAGAAAGGAAGATTAAAAAAAGTCTTTAAGTATGAGAATACATCTTAGACTACCAACTAAATTCTAATGGCTTTCAGTTCAGGAACTCTTTCCCAGTCAACCACATATAGCTAAAGTTTGCTTTTCTTAAAGCTAGGAAGACTAGTACTTTTCCAAGCATTTATAATACCACTTTTCATCAGAATGTTCCTTGAAAAGAGTCACAAGAACATAAAAWATAACATTTAGTAATATTAACAGTTAGCCATTTCCTAGCTTATTAGGAAAGCAGAAGAAATCAGAGAACTTTCATAGAACTATGTGTTAGGTAAATACATACTCTGTTACTCTGTTACCAATATGTACTAGATTTAGTCTGAAGTTTATACTTAGTTGCAGATCATTTTTTAAACCAGTTATAAAAACCATGAAAAAAGGCAAAAAATGCAAAACCAAGATTTAATTCTATGTTATGCTTCCCATTTTAAATCCTGATTAAAACTGGTAATATAAATCCCTTTGATTTATGTCAATCCTCCCTGTTACTGCAGTAAAAATGTATAATCCTGTTATCAGCGTGGGAATTTCTCACCTGCATATGAAATGCTAAGGAGCTTGCTGCGTTCCAATGGAGGAGCCCAAGACGACCACATTGAATGCATAGCAGGAAAAGTAACACCCTGGAAAGCAAAAATTTGATCTGTTGAAATGCGAAAATGTTAAATCTTCCCTCAAATTCCCAWATTTCAAAGCATATTGATTCATTAAGAACAGGAGTGCAATCTGTTGGCTTCTCTAGCAATTGATGAAAAGCATTCACAGTGTGAGGATAATTAGTCAAAATTAGTTTCTCTCCTGCTTTTGATATTGCTCCTTATTTCTGCCAAAGGAGAAAATGAACAACTATAGTTGGGTTTTACAGGTGTTCAAGCAAATAAATCTATTTTCTCATTCTGAAACTTAGACCAAAATTTGGGTAAGCTTTTTTTCTTTAATAGTTAAAAAGTAAAATTAAGCTACTTGCAATGAAAAAAACCACACACTTCATAAAACCTGATGACTCCCACAAAACGCAGCCACTCCAACTTAATTCAGATACATTTTTGGGTTATAAAGAGAAAAAAAAAAGATTACCTCTCCCAGTCCTTCCAAGGCTCTGACAGCTATGAGATAGCCAACTCCCAGATTTGCTGCTAAGGGAGTAAGCAAGGTGAACACAGAGGTACCAAAGATGCCAAACCCCAGCAACAGCTTCCCTCCAATTTTGCTTGCGAGATATCCACCTGGAATCTGGGTAATGATATAGCCATAGAAAAAAGAACCAAGGATCCATCCCTGAGTATCAGCATCCCAAGAATATTTTTTCCCCTAAAAAGAGAAAACAAAACCTGAGATGCAGTAAGGTCAAAACAGCAGTTTCTCTGGCCATATTCAACATGAATTCAATCCATCATTTAGTCTTTTATGGCTAAATTAGAAATCTTTCACATGGTCCTCCCTAGTATCTAGTCAAAGTTGTGTTAGAAGTTAATTGAAATAGCAATTGGTACAGACATATGTAGGCTATGTATGGAAAGCATAAGAGTATTAAATAAATGCTTAGGCAGTTAATTCCTTGCAGAGTTCCACACAACCTGGACATGGATACTACCTGAGCACAAATCCCACACCTGTATCACAATGCTGTATCACACAAACAATTCTGTTCACCATTAAAGCAAGTAGACAGAATGGCTCTCTAGAAAATGGCTTTCCCTATAGAAAACTTACTAAAGAGAAAAATCAAGTATAAAGATGGAGATGCTTCAATGAGATAAAAAGAGAGCAGCCAAGGACAGAATTCATAAGGAGAGGACAAAGATGATGATAAGTATGACGAGGAAAAATGAGCTTGGGAGACAAGCAGTAAAAGCAAAGATTAAAGAGATACAAACTGAAGCTATATGGGAAATGAGCAAGATAACACCAGCTGTTTTCCAAGAAATTCATTTTGAAGGATGGGATCACTTCCAAAGGTATAATTTACGAGCATCTAATGCGCATACATTTCAAGTAAACAATAAGATGATCTTCCTCCCTATTTACAATTATAGTGTAATCATGATAAATAATAAATGACTTCTAAACTGACAAAATAAAGGCAGGAAGAGGGTGAAGAGGTATCAGTAATAAAAAAAAGATATCAGTTATAAGGCAAAAAGTATCTTTTTGCATCCAACAGAGTCCTACCCAGTTAGATAACGGCATTTTAAGGATGACTGGAAGGGATAACATGAGACAAAGGATGTAAGATAAAAACCATCATATGGGAAAGCGAGTAAAGCACTTGGAAGAAGATATTACATGTTAGGTAATGTGTAATGTAATTTCATGCCATCAAGGCAGTATGAAAAACAAAGAGGTAGATACAGGCGCTGATGTGAACTCTGACGCAAATATAACAGTAACAGTCAGTCACAGGCATAGAAAACAGTGAGTCATATTAGATTTAAAAAGTCAGATCAGCCAATTTGTGAAGGATAGTAGGGAGAGGATGCACTTAAAAYCAGCCAACTGTGAGCACAGCACTTCTAAAGCAGGTAATCATCTAAAGCTATCATTCTCAGAATATATCTGAAAGAACCAGTGCACATTCTGAAAAGGCTGTCYAGTAAAGAGCAAGCAGCGCTCCTGTGACCTAAACACGAGTCATTAATCACAGTTTATTAAAAAAAAAACCTTAAAAGGCTTTCAGAAGAATATAACTGAGAGCTTACCGATGTATTGCGAGGAACATTGATAGTAGAGGAATGTTCTGGACACACATTGGAAGTTGTATTCTTTGCTAAGCTTGTGTTAGGTTCTACCATATCCACTAGAGCAACACTGAGGTTTACTCGTAATGCATACAGGAGAAAGAATCCAAAAAAGGCCAGCAGTGCTAAATTATAACGGGCAGAGCAGCATGCAGGCACTGAAATGAGAGTAAATAAAAAGTTAGATTTTGTTAAAACAAACAAAAAGAATGAGCAAAAAGATCAATTTTACTAGTTATTCCTGATATTTATGGGTAAGGAAAAATAGCAAGAAGAGTTAATTGTGCCCCTTTTAATAAAGGTACTCAGTAAGGGTAAAAAGAGCTCAGGGATGGTAAACATGTTSCCATTTTTCTACTGATGTTTGAAACACAAAAGTAATTCTGCTTTAGACCAGCAGAAGCTACATCCCTAAACGTAAGAGCTGCAGTGGAAAAGTGATTCATGATTTGTAAAAATGGCTTCAGAAACACAGTTTCTAAAATCTTCTTGTAAATACAGTGAAAATTATTCATACTAGAACATCACACTAAGAAAACAAAATGCGTGGGAAGCCTGCTATATACTTGAAGGTGGTTCAAGATAGACAGATTCTTAAAGCGACACTWAGGAACAACTGGCAAGATTCCATGCTCTTTTCTAGAACCATTTGCCCCCTAAAAGTTTGCTTATTATCTAGGCTCTGTTTTCTAACAGTTACCAAAGAGAAAATCATCAAACTACCAGAAAGGGGAATGGCAAACCCCGCCATGGCACTGTGAACAGTTAGCAGTTTCCCACTTGCCATTCTGTCCCCTTCTGCAGTCACCACACAGTAATAAAGCCATCAAAGGAAAGCGAGCCTTCAGCACTAAGTGACTCAGCATTAAGACAGCTCTGTCAGCTTTTTAAATCCAGGTACCAGAGCCTATCTTATAGCACACAATTAGGGATATTCTTCTCACATTCTGCACACAGCAAGCAGTGCTTGACAGCACTCATTCATCAGTGCCACTTCATGCTTGTTTGTCACTCAGATCAGTCAAACTGTACTCTGGACAGCGCATCACCAGTCACAACAGGGAGACTTTTACCTTCCTATTTCATAAAATGTTAGGTATTACCCGTGTTCTCAGGAAAGGAAAGGTGATGCTATAAATCAATTTTACAAAACAGTGAAGGAAAGGGATCTAAATAGTATACACAGCAAATCTTGTGCCCCTTCTGCTCTCCAGGATATTATACAGCTTCCACATATGATGAGAGTTAACTTAYGCCTTTCATGATGTGATCCTTCCCRTYTCACGTCAAGGGGTAATAACAGCAGCCTGGCTACCAAAGCCCAAGAGCTAACCTTATAGAGACCAGCATGTCTGCAGCTGACCTGTCTCGAGCCTGTTCATCCACATCACGATGTCCACTATCCATCCATGTCATCCATGTGGGTCCCCACAARGACATTTGCAGGAGCAGCGAGCTCTCTCTAACACCAAGGCTGTGCAATCATAATAGCATAGTCCATTTGGAAATGAGCATAAGCTTAAAAGCAAGTAGCCTGTCCTCTCTCTTTTGCTAAATCCTTGTGCCTAAAACTTCAAAACTGAAACACTGTAGAAGAGTTGAAATTATAATTATGTGCCTAGCAAAAAGACAGTAGAGAGTGCTAGAATATCTAACTGGGTAGCTAAACTCAAACCTTCCTATTGCATAAATACAAAACAATCAATCAAATAAGCAAGAAAAAGAAAACAAAAACCACACACAAACATACACATGTCTCATTGATTCAAGAGAGATTGTTGTAGACTTACAGAAAGATTAACATTGTTTTGTATGAAAAGAATCAGGTTTGAATAGTTATTTGTATATTAAAAAAGCCCATACATTTTCCTGCTAAAGCACACAGCCACAGAAGTATGGTTGCTAAATACTTACAAGCTACAACCATCTACAGGAGATAAGATTAGGGTAGGATGAGCACAACTAAAACCCTCATGATACGTTCAAAGCAATACCCAAAGAAGCAAAGATAACAGATAAACAGAGATTTAAACAGAGATTTAAAGAATGTATTTCCTCAAAAACAGTCATAACAGTATGTGATTCTTAAATGATGCGTCATACTAACACTGCAGACAATAGGGTTTGCCAACTTGTGCAAAGCATCTCATATGGGAAATTAGATTAAAAAAAGAGGCAGAAAAATARATCATTACTTCCCTAAAAAGATGGATACCTAGATTTATTGAAGAAAAATGTCAAAGAGTTGAGAAACCACCATGAAGAATATGCTGAAGTTMCAGATTAAAATAAATAAATAAAAAGTAGTTTTCTTTTGTAAGGAAACTATGATGCTAATGGAAAATTTTATGACCTAAACGTGTCATCCCCTCCATCTCTGGCGGGATKGGGGATCAACACCTGAAAATACTAGATCAGTATGTCAGTATACAAACGCCATATCTTTTTGTGGATGTGCAAAATGTAAATGATGATCAGAACAAAGAATTCTGTGAACAACAYGGCTGACTGCAAGCCTGATAGGCTGCTGCTGCCTATTTTTTCCCTGGATTTTGTGATCTGAAATTAGACAAAAACCTTTTCCTGTGAACAGTATGTCTGAAGAATCTCTCCCTCCCATGAATTTCCTGGAAAGGGGAATGAATTAGCTCTTTTCTTCTGGCGGGGAGGGAAGGARAAGCGAGTTTTCTTTCTGTAAAACTATGTTTTCCAAAAAGGTTGCAAAGATCTTCTAACAAAGGGAAGTCTTCGCTCTCCAGTCTACTTTATCTGAATTTTATTATGGCTGCACACATTGCTAAAAGGAAACTTTTTTGCCATGTTTCTTCAGTAAATGAGTAATAAGAGAGATTATTGTGCTAATATACTAACCATGCCTTCCAGATTTGTGGTAACTGTCTCTTGCCTTTTTCACATGCTGCAGACATCTGATTTTTAAAAGAAATAGGGCAACAGCCAAGYTTTTATTACTTACTTTAAAAATAACAGACACTAAGAACAGGAAGTTCTTCCTGCACAAAAACCAGTCAAACTGCTTCACTGCCCATTGTTGTTTGACTACACATTTTCTGCTTGTGATATATTGCTTTTTAGTTAGCTACAGCAGCAGGTAAAWCCTTTTACTGCTTGTAGCTATACATGCTTGGGCTAAATGGACAATAATAACAGAAGGTTGAATATCATGCTATTTCCACTTCCTTGGAAAGTTAGATGAACTGGAATTATTCTTCCTTTGGAAACTCCTGTTGGTATAGGCCTTGTCTGGAGAGCAGCTCCACAAGAGAACAACACAAAAAAACCTTACAATCGCATTTCCCCCCCCTGGATTTCAAATAGCTTAGCATAAAAATTACACTAAAACATAGATGTGAATTCTGAAATAAATTGCCGCTATGTTATTTCTTTCTTATCTTTTCACCAAGTGTATCTGCCAATAGCGCAGAATACTAGATCCGGTTAGCAAAAGGGAAGAAAATTCAAGAAGATTCCAGATGTATCCCAGTTACCTGACTTCTACGGAGATGAGATGGCAAAATTCATTGACAAAGTAACAGACATTTTTGCTCTAAAGTTAAAGGTAAACACGATACTCAAGCCCTTACCTCGATCAGTAGTCTCGGGTCCTACATTTCTAGTTAACGTATATTTCAGGAACATGTTTTACAACACTGGAGCTAAACTTCAACAGGATCTCAACTTCCAATAAAAACAATTAGGTCTGCACGGAGAGCTGCAATGCGGTTAAAAGAAGCCTCTCTTCTGTTGTGTTCTACCTTGAGGGCGAGGTGAACTCCTTCAACTAGGACATGACGCATTGTGCAAACTGAAGAAACTATTGCTTTAATAACTGACTTGAACTCAAAATCCGCTCTAGGAACAACAGCCCCTAGGGTTGCAGTTATACTGCTAACTATGTAAGAGTAGCTTTGTGTAGCAGAGTTGAAGATTTTAAATCTTATTTTAAATTTTACCAAGAAACCAAATAGCGCAGACAACATCCCGAAGAGACAAGATCTGCACTGACGTGCTGTGGTTTAGACCCCTTAATGATTACCTTTTCGTATAGTTATGCGTGTGTCTTCCTCCACTTCTCTGTAAGTCTACAACAAGCAGACAGCCTGACTAAAATTCTCTTAAGATGAGACTCTGCTATAACCTTGACGGAGCCGGAGGCGTTGCTAACAGCTGGGTTAATAGCGTTTAGGCGGAAACGCCCCGGTGCCTCCTGCGAGGCGAGCCGGGCTCTGCAGCAGAGCGAGGCAGGGCGCCGGCTCCAGCGGGACCCGCCCGGCCACGCTGCGAGGGCGCCTTAGGGCGAGCGGKGCCCGCGAGCCGCGCCAGCCCCATGGCAACGCCACGCCGCTGCGTTCCCCATCCCCGCCGCGTCTCTCACCCGTGCCTGTGCCCGTGCTGGTGCCCGGCGGGGACTCCTTCAGCAGCGGCGTGCGGTCCGCTCCTTCCTCGGGCTCCATGGCGCTGCCCGCCGCGCCCTGCAGGCTGCCCAGGGCCAGGCCGCCCGCCGCCAGCGCCACCGCCGAAAAGAGGGGACCACTGCGGGCGGCTGGGCGGGCGAGAGGAAGCGGCCTCAGCTGCAGTGCAGCGTCGCTCCCCGCTTGCCCTCAGCCGCCATCTTCGGTGAGGGCAAAAGCCGCCACCCCGACCTCCCCGCCGAGAATGCGAGCGC